ATACAATAATTTAAAATCTGGTAGTACACAAAGCTATAAATAGTAATAATAGCAACTTAATGATTAAGTGTGTAGATACAATTAATGGTTAATTTATTCTAAATTGCATTCATCACATTGTTTGGTAAAACATTTGTCAATATGGCAGTTATTTGTGAAATAATCTTTCAAATAAATTGTATTCAATTTGTGTTTCTAATCAGCCAGTTACACAATGTAGCATGAAGAGGTCAACTGGAACTATATCAAATACATGCTGTATCATTAGAACAGAGATTAGTCACAATTATGTACCTAATCCATGTTATCTGTGTGGGACACCACTATTTCTATTCTTTTAAATGCTAAAGGACAACAAAATGCATACAGGAATGCTTCTCTAGCTTTCTCTGGGGAGAAATTAATATTGCTCATGCTCAGAAAGTCAAAGGATTTGGACTTTGCATTATCCATTTGTTTAAGGGAGGGTTGTTTGCAATCTAAATATAAACTTAACTTCAGCACTTTCCTTCTCTATTAATTGACTCATACTTGAGTCCATTTATGTGATAAACATGCACAGCTAATAATCAATGATATGGTGGCTGTGTGTACAGAACAAATAAGAAAAGAAACAAATATTCCATGTCTATACTCACATATCCAAAGCAGAATATAATGAAGACCAAATATGCGTGCTTTAAGGACAGAGTCTGTAAAGGTAATTTATATTAATTTTTGATACACCTCTGTTACACAAAAAAAAATCCCCTTTCGTTTCTGAAGTGCCATTGCTACTGTGCTTATTTATTTCAGCATATTTACTTACTACAAACATTTGTTCCCAAGCTTAGCATTCATGTTGTCAAAATTTGGAATTTAAATAAAATTAAAATCACCTCTTTTTAATTTTTTTAACTAGGGTGTGTGTGGTCCTTTTTGCATAAACTCTCTTTTTCATTCTTTTCTTTTCCATCATCACTCTTACCCAGGGGAGCTGGGAAGCTGCAAGGTAAAGATTCTTCTTCCTACCCAGCCTACACTGAAACTGCCCCAGACCGTTTTGGCTCTTATGGCACTCAGTACCTGCTCTTTTACAAAACAGAGAACTCAGGTTCCCTTCAACAGTGAGAAAAAGCTCCTTATCCCATGATCAAAACAAAACAAAAAAAACACCCTGTGGTTTTACCTGTTTGAAGAATTTTGACCTGACTTAGCAGGTCAAAACCTGCGCTACGTCTTCCAAAACTTATGAACCCTTTTGTAATTTGCCCTCCAAAAAGACCAGAATTTCCTGTATTCAAATGATTTTTCAGCAGGAGTCATCCCACCTTTCAAGTTCTACCCTGCAACCCCAAATGTGTGGGATTTCGATTCTGATCTTTCAAAACACAAAAGCTCTAATTTGCACCTCTTTTGCTTTCCCCTCATCTTAAACATGCAAGAGTCAGTATGAAAAGTCTTGTATTTCTCTTTTGTAAGCATGTGTTTCTGTGCTGGGTTTATAACACGACCTGGCAGCAGTGGATACACCTGCACCTGTCTCTCTGCCAGGAGCTGCACTAGGGATTCAGCCACACACCTGCTGCTGGGTGGGAAAAGCATAGGAGGGCACACACACACTGCTCATCTCAGCCTCTCTTGGTTTGCTGGGAAAATCCAATGTCCTTAAAGAACAGCAGTTTCTATGAGATTTATACCAGCAGAAAATATATTAAACACTTTTATTTAATTTTGAGTGCTACTTTTAGGACCTCTGTCCAGCCCTCCTGCAGGAGGGCCTACCTCATACCAGAGGAAGACCACAAGTCCCTGTAACCTTACATTTTCCTCTATATTTTCCCCACCTGCCTCACTCATTTGAGTGATAGCATGCTGACTCTAAATTGCTCATTAAGACAATTAAGCCTGCTCTTGGTAGGAGTTCAGCATCCCCCTAGCCAACTCTGCCACCATGAGCCTTTCCCTAACAGTTCCCTCCACCTCAAATTATCCGTTTCAGAGGCTGACTCCATCTGAGTTTTTTAAAACCAGACATTTTTCTGCTCACAGTCACCTGGCAAATGGCAGGGCCTGTTCTTCTATTTTCTGAATGGCTGGCTAGTCCAAGAATAATAATAATAATGATGATGATGATTATTATTATTATTTCTATTATTTTCATTATTATTATTATTGTCTAATTATTCAGTGGAAGCTACACCCATCTCTTGGAGGCAGGGCAGCAATTTCAGCAGTGGCAGCCCTGCTGCAGAAGCAAGCAGAATGTGATCTGTTCTGCAGCACCCTAATGAAGAGCCAGCCAGGCTCGATGAGACCTCGAGGACCTGAGCATATCAAAATTAGATTTTTATGCAGTGGCAGTGTCTACATTGCAGTGGACAGCAGCACAGTTGCTGCAGATGGTGCTGGGCCTCCCAAATTTCAGCATCCCTATTCCAGCCGGCCTGGCTCCCTCTCTGCCCTCCAGCCATCCTTCACATTCGAGGCAATTCAGCCAAGAGTGCAAAGGGAGGTTTGGAGACTCACATCCAGGCATAACGAAGCTGCCCAGCGGTGTAACATCATTCTCTAAGGGAAATCTTGAAAGCACAGCTGTAGTCCTCCTACGTGTCGATTTGGCTGCAAACAGGTTCTGAAAATCCGTATAACCGTACCGAAGTATAAAGACTCTGCCTCCAACGATAAATCAGCTGAAGAGGAGGAGTCGCCCTGTTAGGACACCGCTCCTGAGGGGAGAATGGTCCTTGCAGCGCCGTTCTGGGAGGCGGGCAGGAGGGTGTCGAGGCACTCCGGGTGCAGCTCCCGGACGGCCGGGGATTCCTGCCGGGGCTGTCCGGCTGCTCCCCCGCGGGCCGAGGCGCAGCGGGGCAGCCGGGCAGTGACGGTGCGAGCGGCCGCCAACAGGCTGCCAGCCACGGCCCCGGGCCACTGACAGGACACAGACACGCGGGACAAGCAGTCACGGCTCTGACGGGTTTGTCTGACCGGCCCCCACAGGGTACCAGGGCCCTGCTTGCCTTGCTAGCCTGAAATTCTCGTGGCATGGCAAGCAAGTGTCGGATACTGCCAGATGCCCAGCTGTGCTTTCAGCAGGTCCGCTGGGGTGCTTCATTTCGATTCGGACCATTAGAGGTAGAATTCCGTGACTGATGTTCACGCTTTGGGGATTAAAGAAAAGGGAAACCACCGATAATCTCAAATTATCCAGAAAACCATAGCGTTTCTGGAGCTAAAACCACTCCAACATGCTGGTTGCCTTAGGGTTCCTTGTTTCTTAGAGGTACAGTGCACTACAGTGCGGTTCCCCGTCCACCCGAAGCAGGTGCATGGACTTAAATGGGAAGCATAAAATACAGAGAGGGACTGGTATAGGGGAAATGGACATAGAAATGTGCAGAACAGCTAAAGCAGAAGTGATAACACCTCTACTGATACCATCCTTACTGAGGAAATGCCAGAGTATTACTCCCCATTCCAAATAAAATAAAAATAAAATAAAATTTATTTAAAGGGGAATCGCAGTTTACTCACTACAGCAGAGTGCTGACCAAAATGTATTTTTTCATGCAGATGTAATGTCCCATCTTAGAGCGAGACGCCCATTATCACCTTACATACCAAAGGGATTATGCCCTAGAAGTGCAGGCGCCGTGACCTGCACCTTTTTTTGCCACTCCACACAAGACCAGAGTCGTGGCCTCCGTGTCGAGCCACTTCATTTTGGGAAGCACTCCTTCAACTGAGCTACCAAACCACTCGCCACCTGTGCACGCACCAAAGCCGTGATGGCAAGATCATGATGCCGCCCTGGCCACAGCTTTAGGAAAAGGGAGGGTTGAGCCTCTCAGATGTTTCCAATACCTACATGTCTCCAGAGGGAAAAAAAAAAAGAGCAGCAGAGCAGAAGAGTATCCAGTCCCAAGGAAAAACGGAGGACCGCCAGCTTGACTGGTCCTACCATTCCAATGAAGCATCACTGCTGCCGGCAACAGCTACTGCTGTGTCCAGACAGGATACTAATAACTATCATGAAAACACTTAAAAACAGTCCAGCCGAGTTCCCTTCCCTCACTGTGTTTCAGTACAAGCAGCACAGCTAGGGCACAATCCAGCCATTTCAAAATTCAGGGAGATGTATTGAGATATATGGTATCTCAGCACTTACTCTGGTGGGATTTTTTTCCTATTTAATTTATTTTTTTTTTTTAAGTTCTACTGACCCTTCTGGTCACCAACTTTCTTTGTGGTTCACTCTAAGGATCGCTCTCCAAGAACAAAAAAGAAATCTCCGAGCTTTGATAGAGACTCTGGATGAAATTAAGAACTTCAAACCCCAGATTTTTGAAAAGAAAAACAGATGTCCTGTTTGTTAAATATAAATAACTCCGTACGTGGAAGTCTTTTCTTTTACGCCGCATTAAATTTTATTTAATGCTGGGTGCATTTAAACTAAAGGGGGGGAGAAAATAAAAAGTGGTGGACAGCAAAATATGCGGGTGACAAACCTCTAAATCTTTTCCTCTCTCGAAATAGAAAGAAACAGGCGGACGGGAAACCCTTCATGTGGATGAAAGCGCTCAATGTGTTTCCGAGCAGACCTGGCGAGCCTGCCCTGGTCAGTGCGGCGGCGAGGGAAGCGGAGGCGGCGGGAGGGGGAGCGGCCCCGG